TCAAAAAACTACCTGAAATATTTTATAGTTCCAATTTTCACCCCATGATTTTATGGTCGTTAACGGTCAAACAGAATTAGTAAACTTTGTTATTTTCTAAAACAAGAAAAAGCTGAAAAAATTTTCAACTATTTAATCTTTGCCAAAAAATACCTGAACTTTTTACGTTATCAGAAATCTACATTAGTTAAATTTATTTTCACGTTAAATGACACTAAAAAACCAAAATATCAAAGAGTTTACAATAACTAAAAAAAAAGTTATCACAAATAGAATTCGAAATAATATGATATCTTTTTTTGAAATTACGATATATTTATGACTAAAGATTTTGTAGAAGAGTGCTTCATTTTTGTTTTTGGGCTGATTTAATCTCCACTAAGATGATCTTTGTAGATTATTAAAAATATTTATCACACTTTATCTCAGTTGATCACCTACTAATTTATATTTATTACTCTATTATGAGCCACTGAGATCACTGTTCCAAAGAGTCGATAAGTTAGGAGTTTATATTCAAATCGTCTTTCGGAATAGATGTGGTCTACGATGAAAAACAAACCAATACCAAATGAATAACCATCAGCGAATGAATCTGGGGAGAACCATTAATGGATGTAAGGTAGTGGAGTAGAAGCTGAAACCGTATAACAATTCAAGTTTTTTTACACTGAAAAATTAGCTTGTGTGGGTTTTTGGCAACATTAAAATTTCAGGTACTTTTTGGCAAAGATTAAATAGCTGAAGGTTTTTTTTAGTTTTTTCTTGTTTTAAAAAATAACGGAGTTTACTAATTCTGTTTGACCGTTAACAGTCGTGAAATCGTGGGATGAAAACTGGAACTATAAAATATTTTAGGTAGTTTTTTGATCCAAAAAATTAGTTCGTATAGGTTTCTGGCAACGCAAAATGTTCGGGTAGGAAACTGGCAAATATTAAATAGTTGAGGGTTTTTTAAGCTTTTTCCCCCAAAAAATTACGTCTAAAATACATTGAACAGTGATTAAAAGATCTCAAAACTATTAAACTAAATTATTTAGATACTACTATGTTTTTATTTACTCTTTTCTATTCAATACTGTTTTTACGATCATGTCTTCCAACTTTAAAATACAAGAAAATCTAACAAACAAATATACTCAAGAATAAAAAAATGAATCCAAACTACTATTAAATTTTTAAATAATCAAATGGAAATTATATCATCCCGTGCAAGGCGCAGAAGAGTTAACTAGTCGCAGATGAATTACCGAGAGATTATCAAGTACTTTTATAACAAGTAATACAAGTTGGAGATGGTGTAGAAGATGAGATTATTTAGGGAAGAAGCATCAGTGAAGATTCAAAGAAAATGGCGAAGGGGCAGATCATAACTCTTCCCTTGGACACAACATTTAAGTGATGAGAGAAGCGGAAAGATGAGTGAGAGAATGTGTGGTACATATCTTATAATAGAGAAAACATATAGTAATCAGGGATTTCTGATTTCACATGGTTCTTGAAAACTAAACTCTGTAATAGGAATTAGAAGATACAATAAAAAGAACTGTCATAAGTGTCTTCAACATTCTGGTTTCCATGTTATACGGCGCTTACGGCTTCTCACAATAGAGAATAATGGAAGCTAAAGAAAAAAAAATTCACACAGTTCAAACAACAACAACAATGTAGTTGCTTCTCTTCACAAGTGTAATTAACCTTGAAAAAAATGTCCACAACTGTTGAAACAACAACAATGTGGAAGCTCTCTATTGAGTGTTTTTGATTGTTGACCTCTGGTTCATGTATTGCTTCATTGAAGCTCATTATAAGGGTCAACGGGAAGTTTAGAGAAGAGCCTAACCATTCGCTTCAGCCTCATTGTGAATCCACAATGTGGATGAGCACCATTCCTGTAAACATTATTTGTAGTCATCCTTGACTATGATAATTAAGTATAACCAATTTGTATGATCCAAATTGGTCCAGTTTGTAATTTACCTGAATAAATTAGTATATGTGGAGACATCAAAGTTGCATTTTTTTTTTGCCTTTTTCAGCAATTTTAGGTCATTGATACATTGGCCTCCTGATATGACCTTGCCTAGTACAAACCGAAAAATTACTTATCAAAAGTGTTGGTAAACATAATTCGTAGGAAGACGTACATGAGGTAAATAGTAAATAATTAAAAGATGTATTTCTCAAGAAGACAGCAAAGGAGTTGTCAGGATCATCTGCACAAGGCATGGTGTAAAAATGGGCTACCTTCCAGAGGAAGGCGATGCAGTATGTAAAAGTTAGTGTTGTACTTGTTTCAAATATCAAAATCAACAGGTTTGCAGTTGCAAGATACTGAACTAAAACTAGCCAAATTATATCAAACGAAGATATATAAAAGTGGTGGATTACTTTTCTTCAATGAGATGGCCAAGTTTTCTCTCTGATATTGTGTCTAAACGTTCATAAGGATCTAACTTCTCACCAACATCCTGTCAACGCATCATGATTACCAAATGTTATTGATAAATTATCCGAGCAACTCCTCAAGTTAAATGAAAAATATAAAGGCCAGTCTAATCATACATTAAGCATTTAAATCCCCTCTTCAAAGCTTATCCTCTGTGTTTTGGGCAGAAACTGCAATTTAATGCCAATTTAAAAAACACAGTAAAACACAAATAATCTGTTTTAAGTGTTCTTTGCTCATCCAATAAAGACGCAAATGTTACATTCAGTGTTTCAAAAAGATGATGATTTCTGATAAGTTCGAGTTCCTTTGGGAACATCTCATTTATCTTAGCCAATAGAGCAGATTTAAGTGATCCACCATGTCTATTAACTACAAAAACAATAAAACACTCTTAGTAGAGTACAAAGAGATGTACATGAGAGAACACATGTATAATATTTTACTTCAGTATAATCATTTTCAATCAGTATGTCCACCTCAAAACAAGAGAAGAAACATGGGTTGCGGAGGATATATCTTTTACGGTAAAGACAAATCCTTGCCAAAACTTCTACGGTTGATGAGCGCACAGACTATTAGTCATCATTGTTATCTCCTCGTAATAATGAAGGGTCTCAAGCACACAAAGAGGCTACTTTTCACTACTATCACCCATAATTAACAGTGTGATCTCAATAAAACTTTTCGATAGTATGAGCTCCCTAAGTGTCTACAGAGAAACAACAAAAAAAAAAATCAACCAAATCAAGGACAGTGATGATATTTTAGTATTCACGTATAAAAATAATATTTTACCTCGCAAACTAGAATCATTTTTATTTTTAACTTATGAATAAGTAGCACAAAAAATAAAGCCTTAACGATGGAGCGATAATTGTGCATTCTTTTTCAAGCTCAAACTGAATATGGTTTATTCTTCTCATGGAGTTTGCAACATCATCTTTATTGCAAGAAAAGTTTCTGAGGATTCTGTTAGAGATGAGTGATTTCCAGTGATAGTATACCATAGATATTTCTGAGCAACTTTTTTTATTTTACCACTAAATTAAGAATATTTTAATTAAATCTACCTAAATTACTTAAGAAAAAACAAAAAATAGTAGGGGTACGTGACACCGTACTGTCCTTACTCCCTCCGCCCTTGTATACCTTCGAACAGAAACGATGTTGGCAAGATGAACAAACTGTGTTATATATGTCTTGAACAGTATCTGTATCCTCTAACTCAAAGAGTTTGTTGCACTGACAAGGACATAACTTAACCTAAACAAAAAAAACAACATAAAAATTAGCTTTTGCATTTATAGAACAAAATTATTAAAACAAATGAGCTACCAACATTTATGTAGTGATTTGTTTATGTGTCATGCTCACAGCGATTTTCATGGAGTTTGCAACATCATCCTTATTGCGAGAAAAGCTTTTGAGGATTCTGTTAGAGATGAGTGATTCTCAGTGATAGTATACCATAGATAACTCACAAATGTATCCTGTGAAAAAGAGACTGATTCTGTTAGAGATGAGTAATTTTTAGTGATAATATATCATAAACAACTCACAAATGTATTCTGGATGGGAAAGAATATACTGATTTTCTGTGCAATAGTGTAGTTTTGACACTGTAGACGCTATTAAAGTTCAACTGGGTGCCGCGAAGACTCAACAAACCAGCTGATATTTTGGCTAAACATTATCTTCCTCCACTACAGAACTATGTGCTTCATTCCTATGTACCACATATTATTACAAATGAGTTACATTCTGACTATGTACATTTTCTACATTAATAAAAGTTTCTTCAGGCGTTAAAAAAAAAGACGCTATTAAAGTATTAAATTTAGACGTTGATGTATATAAGGATATGTATAAGGATATGTATCCTTGATCGGGACCAAAATTCTTACAGAATTGAATTAGCAATGTATGTCATTTCCTTCGAAACACTATCAAAATAAATATACACTGACACTCTCTTATTGGCTTAAGACTCTATTTGGTTTAGAGGTTTACCTTTTAGAAGATTGAACTGAGAGGAAAAAAACATTTTCCCTTTGTTGAATCTTATCCAGATACCTTGGGTTTTGTGTTCACTCTCTCGAATCCTTCTCCAATTCTAAGGTTTTTTGCTGTTCTTACTTCTGCAAATCCTTAGATCATTTACTCTCCGATTAATATCCTGTCAATACTAAGGTTTCTTGAAGGTGTTTTGGACTGTTCGAAGGTGGGTTTGTTGTTTTTATTTTTATGTTGTGAAAATATTGGCTGATATGGATAAAGCTCTCATTATGTCCCTGATAAAGAGGACTTGTCTTTTGATGTGCCGAACCTTCCTGTGTAGTTCTTGTGAGAAGAATGTCTTCAGTGTGATGGGAAGACTTCTTAATCTCGACTGTCAAAAAATATCGATTCTGATTCTGGATCTGTCTAGGAAATGGCAAAAGTATGATAGAGTGCATGGAGTATCTTTATTATCTAAAGAAAGATTTCAGTTCATCTTCAGAACTGAACAAGATCTAGATATGGACAAAGGGCTTTACTGCTTTAATGAGTGGGCTCTGGCTATGGAAAAATGGGTGGATCAGCCACCGAGTGATTATCTGCCGTTCGTGGAGTTTTGGGTTCAGCTTCGTAACATCCCGGTGAATCACTTAACTAGTTACAAGAAAAGAAAGAAAATAAAAAACAAGCCAAACTCATCACAATTTTTTTTAAATAAATCACAATAGGAATTTACTAGTGTTTGAATGTGCAGAAACATTACAATCCCGCTCTCACTCTCTCTCTATCAAACCTTCCTTCTCCATTAGAAGCTTGGCAGGAACGCTCCAAACGACACCGTGTATTCATGAAACTGCGACCATTAAAGACAAGAGCTCAAAGTGATTTCATAGTGATGCGCAACAAGAGAGATGGGTGACAAAATTGCAAATAAGAAAAAACCTGCTTCACGATCTCTTCATATTTAGCGGCTAACTGTTTCACTTTCGCTTCTCCTGACTCTTTCACCTGATTAGTCTTGGCAGTATTGTCATCAACCTGTTGATATATAAACAATGAAACCTTACGCCGATGATAAAGAATTGGTGCACAACAGATTCATATCGTTATATGTTCAAAAGCAAATGACTATTATTACCATAGCTATGATCGATTCAACATCTGTTTGCCTGACTTCAAGTTGACGTTTTTTGGATTCAACTTCCTGTTTTAGTTCATTCAGTTGTTTCGTCCAATCATCAAACATGACTCCTTTCTCTTTCTCTAACTGCTTCAATGATTCGTGCAACTGTTTCACTGTTGAAAGAATAGAACAATTATAGCGTCCGACCCAAACTAAAAATTGAGAAACAGTATCCCAAAAAGGGAAGAAATAGACAAAGACTTGCCTACTCTTTCCCGGTCAACCACTTTCGCCTCAAGTGATTTGTAAGCTGCCTCATCTTCACTCAGCTTAGCTTTCTGAGCTTTTAAATCTTTCTCCATTGCTTTCACGTTAGTTACCTGTAACATCATCAAACACACTTAAGAATATAAATGAAACACTCAATTCAAAGACACTTTACATCTCATCCCGATAAAGTGGAAGGGTCTGTCTCCTGCCACATGCCAGAGATGCAATGCATGGTTCACAATCTACAAGAAATGAAAGAGGAAAGAAGCTTTTTTTGGTCACCTGTTCGTTAATTAATTGTAGTTGCGCAGATGACTTTGATATTTTCTTGAATGCCTGCAAAAGCCACCCATAGATAGAATGAACTTAAGCTCATATAATGAAAGCATAAAACTGTTGCACGACTAAAAAATGGATTAAACAGCATATACGAAGGTCTCAATCTATATACTGTCCACCTGGGATTCACTCAATATACACCAAAAATAAATGAATTTCTTCCTAAAGCTCCTGGACAGTATTCGTGGAGTATAAAAAAACCATAGCCGGTTAGAGCAATAAACACCAAACTTAGTGGAATAATGATATTGTTAAAATCCTATTTCTCTAACCAAATCGTTTCAGAAATTTCCACCAGTTAACCATCACGTTGCAAAAAAAAAGTCATAAATGCATTTAGTTACGGTGCCGACCAATAGGATTTAGTAATAATCTATTGCTTTCATTATTTACAATATACCTTTTCGTAAACCTCTAGAATGGCAGCCTTTTCCTGGAAAGTTTCCATTGCTGATTGCTCAGCTTTCTTTGTTTCCCCGAGCACTAGTTTCTTCTCTTCTAAAGCCCCCTGTCTCCACAACAAACATATGAACTAGTGTTGTACACACAACCTTCTATAAGAACTAATGCTAGTAGGAAAAAAAATGTACCTGCAGCTTGTCTGGGGATTGAACAATCTGTGAGCGGAGGTTTGCATTTTCTTGAACAGTTTGTACAAGGTCAAACTCTGCTTTGGAAATCTGTAGAGAGAAATACACATGTCAGGAGCCGAAAAACGCCGCTCTGATTTGTTTATTCGCCAACTTAATCAAAGTAAGTTCGAAGAAGCTCTCGACTTCTTACCTCGTTATCCATTTGTGTACTGCTCTCTCTCATTTTCTGGAAAGTTTCTCGCAGTGACAGCTGCTGATTATTCAGTCCTAAAATCTTTTGATTGAGCTCTTCAATATTCGTTTCTAGCTCTTGGACAAAAGGCAAATCCCTCTCGCAGGCTTCATCAAACTCTGCAATCTCTGCATTTAACTGCACGGATAGCCTTCAGAAAAGATGATGGCTTATCTATGAGATAGAGATGTTTCTTGCATTACCTGGGAAATCTTCTCCTCCCACTGCTTCCGCTGCTCATCAAGGATAGTCAACTCTTCTACCATTGGTCTTATAAGTTCCATTTTTGAATTTCTAGTACGAAAAATAAACATGAGGGCTTCAAACTATAGAGAGCTCACCTTCTCGAAGTAGAACTACAGAGAAAAAGACTAAAGCATAAGGACATACTTGTGTAGACTAAAGTTCAAAAGTGCGCTGATGAAAAACTCGGTTCGGGAAGATTCTGGCTTTAAGAGATCCCTGAAGTTGATCTTTAGAGGACAATCAACCATATCTAGCATATCTTTCAATTTCATATAAAGATTCATCGCCGGAGCTGAGGTTGCATGATGATCTGGATTCTCCAATTGCTCCAAAGCCTCAAAATCAACTTGCCCTTTGTCTTCTCTGCCGTGGATTTGTTGAAATTGGAAAAATCAAATTGAGAAACGAAGCTATTATTATACATTCGAACTCGCTAAAGCATAAACTAACCAATAGTGATAACCCCAAATTGAAAAAAAAAAAAAAAATTAGGGTTTTCAAAACACCAGCAAAGCGAAAAACCCATAATTTTCGAAAATTCCATTGATCATAAGGATAATTAAACATAAGAGATGAAGAATTTTCGATACAAATTGAAAACCCAGATTTGAATCAGACGCGTTTCAAAACAATTCCAAAATTCGACGGTGAAATCAGTCTAGTCTAGAGCTAGGTTACTAGGGTTTGAAGGAATCCATACTCGTTGAGCACGCCGAGAGAGATAAGAATTCTGGTGTAAAGCTCGGAGACGAAGTCGAAAGTAGGGTTCTTGAAATCGGCATCCTTAACGGTGGCGATATTAGCTTCCGTGAGGACCGTGATAATGTCGGAGCGAGAGAAGTTCGGATACTCGTAGGTCGACATCAGTTACAGTTGGTCAGAATTCGATTTCGGTTTCGTTGTTTCCTGGATTCGAAAAGAAACTGAACAGAAGAGGAACCAAAAGTCGGAAAGAAAGGAAAATGAAGAGACTTCGATTTTCCCGCCTATACGAAGGGCACCGCCTATTCGAAAGAGATACCCGTGACAGTTTGTTTTCTCTAGTCAAATCAAAATTACAGAAATAATATACAAAATTTTCGAAAAATAAAATATTACATAAACATATCTATCTATAAGTGGCTTTTTAAACGAGAAAGAATTTTAATTTTTAAATACGTACAAAATGGATCTTGCAATTGAAAATATTAGTTTTGTTTTAAAAATAAGGGTCTACTCATTTACTAAATTATATGATTTTTTTTTTTGAAAGTTAACATAAGTATCTCTAAGTTTAAGTTTAAATTTTACTACTCTACAAAACATTTTAAGAAAATATGTTAGTTTGTCAAACCAGCTTTATCTATAATCATTACATAGGTATATTATAATTTTCAAAAAGTATGAAAACAAATTTTCTTAAAACTTTTTAAAAAAAATAATGGTGAGTTAAATCATAATCTAACATAAAAAAAAAATTAAAATGTTTTTTGTTTTACAATTTTCACATGATATTGCTAATATGACGATATTGCTAATATAACGCATATAAGAAAAAGAAATTTACATTCAATGACGCTTTTTCACTATCTATTTACAAGGAATGACTCTTTCATTCCTGATGACACTTTTACACACTTTTGAGGAGTAAAATTACGGTGTCCACCCCCAACGATTTTTGTTATTTACAAACCGATTTCTGGTTAAATATACCGGTTTTACCAGCCATCCGGCGCATATATCGATCTCCAGCCATCCAGTAAAATTGCTGCCTTCCTGTTCATCACAAATTTCCCGACCAGCCCGCCGGAGACTAATCATATAGGTGCCCGACAGCCTGCCGGAGACTAATCATCCAGTAAAATCGCTAACGTCAACATTTCGCCTCTTATAGAATACTCGGCATTCTCCTATGTAGTACCGACAATAAACGGCGATGGAGAATGTCCAATAAACGGCGAACTACGGCGGTGGAGCTGTTAAACCACTTTCGCCTCTACGAACCGTTCCCTGAGAGCATGATACATTTTTTCGTTATGTACGTGTCCATACATCGCGTGATGAGTTTCGATTTCGACATCTCTGTGCTTCCGCCTATGATACGTGTGCATACACCGCTATTCCATATCCTCACCTATAATTATAGTGACATACCCCACATCATAGCCACACTAATCCACATCAACTATATGGACATCTACCGCTCCATATTGTATACCATCATCTTAGCTACACTAATCCATATTAACCATATGGACATAGCCACACTTATCCACATTAATCCAAATTAGGCAATATTGTTCCACATTAACTATATGGACATAGCCACACTTATCCACGTTAATCCAAATTAGGCAATATTGTTGGCACAACGGCTATGTTGTTACAATGGTTATAGTACAAATATGTGGTGTACAATGGTTTACTTATACATGGATGTGTCCATGTAGAAACGGGATTCATTACATATGGAAGCAACCACGTGTAAAGTTTATCTGGACTAACAAATTTGGTTAGGCTCTTGCCTCTGACTCACAAATTTCTGGGTGTCAAGTTGTATACCACAAATATAAATAATTGCTTTCTCATCGTCCTGTCCATGGGCATTTCACATATACCACGTATATAGAACCTGCAACTCTCTGGTTCGGGGCTCTTAACCCTGTTATACAAACTAATTAAAAATTTGTTAGTCAACGGACTACTGCAACACAAATTTCTCTATTATCTTTCCCGAGCTTAAAATATGGCGAAGAACCGCACCTGTTCAATCGACGACGCAGGATGACAAATGAACAAAGTACTTCGTTTAATCACAGTGCTTCCTCGGCGAATTCAGGTTCATTATCCTCTTCACATAGATTTCGTCAGATCGTAATTCGAGTGTCTGTGAAAATTTTGGTTTATAAGTTTATACCATTTTGGTCCCGAAAACTTAAGGGTTGAGTCCAAGCTTGAGGCGTGGTCCTCGGCCTGGAGAGAAAGGCTTTCCAATTTCATGTATTTGTGGAGAGTTAGCTGTTATAAGAACTTCTGGCACATCTAAAAATCCTGGGAGGATGTTTCATTGTTGTCCGAAAGCATCTGAGAAGGTAAACATTGATATGAATTAGTCGGTTTAGCCGCATTTTTCTAGTTCCCATCGACATTATTTTACTACTCGTCCCGTTTACTTAACACTTTTATTATGTTCAAGGACAAAAACCATTTGTTCAAGTGGGTTGATGAGTCAATGCTAGAGGAGATCGAAGACATGAAAGATGTTCTCCGTTCATTTGTGAATGAGATTGAGCTCCTTAAAGTCATAATTCGTGGATACGAGAACAAATTTGAAGCAACGAAAGCAGAATTTGTAGGATATGAGAAAGCTCTTTCAAGAATGGAAGAAGAGATACGGTCTTTGAAGAAGATGATGATCTGTGAAGTTGTTATCATTGATTTCTCCTACTTTACCTAGGCTTAGTTTCTATTTGAGGTTTTTTGTGTTATCAACCGTTGTATGCTTCGTAATACTTATGTTAAGATCTTCTAGACTTTTTGGTTGTCTTATTTTGGGTGTTTATATGGACACAACCACGGCAGACGCGGACGTAATATGAAGTTAGGGAGCTAATTGAAATGTGTATGTAACGCTCATATGAATATATAATTAGGGTTTTTGTCCAAAATAACTTATATGAATCACCTGAAACTTTAATGACATTAGCCGATTTACGGACATGCCTACAGTTGCTTCCACATTTGAGGACGTTCACTCATGGGTGAATTTAACTTTACTCGTAATGCATAAAACATGTTCATGGAAACGTCCACAAGTACCACTCATCCATGCTGTGATCGTTGCAAAACTGTCTTCCAATAGAGCGTAACGCTCATATGGTTATGTAATCAGAAACCAAGTGATTATGTCCAAATTAACCATATGAATATGCTTTGGCCGATTTAACTATTGTTACAATATGCTTCAAGACGGTCCACATTGATGCACGTAATCATACACATGTCCTGTCCACCATACGTCTATGCACGTAATCATACACTTCCGGCCCCTGCTTTTACTTTACTTGGTCCTGTCCACTCACAGACAAAGGTGTGGATCAATGTACATTTCCCACAGGAAAAAAATGTTGTATTCTTATGCCCACAAGTACCTGAAGTTACTCATTTGTTTGGATGGGTCAGTTTAACTCACTTAAGTTCATGTCCACAGAAAAATTTGGTATGTTCAACATATTTCGTTTTTACGGACGCGACCACATATACGCTATAAGATAGTATGGACCATACGTGAATCCAACGGAGACGACCACCACACGACCAGCGTACGGTCAAATCACCGTCTCTTTGTACTCCCTTTTTTATGGCAGTCCACGTGGGTTCGCTTAATCATCTTTCAACTTCTGGTAAAATACCAATATTATCCCTGTCGATTAACTTACCTCATAAAGTTAAAAACCCTAACTCAACCTCATTTCTTCTTTGTTTCCCTTTTCATCTTCGGCGGTAATTAACCTCTCATCTCCGTTCAAACGCCGTCCAACGTTTCTCCCACGTCTTAATTTTGAACTGACGCGCAAATGTCTGGTATGTTTCTTCTATTATCGTCCTTTTTCACAATACTCTCCGGATCCCATTTAATTACTTTCCCCTTCACTAAACATGCAGAGGAAAACCAACTTCAGGACAACCGGCTCCCCTTGCGTTTATTTGCTACTGATAGATACCAAACCTGCCGCTTAAATGTCTACTCAAAACCAGACACGCTCACAGTTATCCGGCATATACTCCGGGATTCCGCTGAACTACAACAAATCTTAAATTCGAGTTTCGGAAGCCTTTTCGATTTACCCGCCAACCGCGCACCAATATCGTGCAAACTCATCCAAGCCCTACTTGCAAGGCAACTAGTAACCAAGCAGAAGTATGAGATGTGGACGGTCTTCGGTGGTCAGCCATTACGCTTCTCGCTCAACGAATTTCAAAGCATTACCGGCCTCAACTGTGAATTGTTCGAAGAGGGCTACGAGACCCCGACATCTGAGGTTGTTTTGAAAGAACCTGATATTTATTGGAAGCGTTGGATCGGCGACGATGTCAAGACCACCTGTGTAGATATTGCAACCTGGCTCCGGGATGACAAAGAGATGGATTCCGCTCGAAGGATCCGCCTGGCCTTGCTGCTTATTGTTGACTGTGTGCTCATTGCCAACCACCAAACGCACACTCCTACGCCCCGCTACGTGAAGATGGTTGATAATCTCGATGCTTTCCTCAGTTTTCCCTGGGGCAGAGAAGCTTTCCTAAAGACCCTCTCCTCCATGAGGCCATCTAGATCTCAATTGTGCAAGTCAAAAGAGGGTCCGGACTCTTTATTCTGCAAACAACTCCAGCAGAAATCAATTAAGCTAAACGGTTTTCCACTCGCTCTGCAGCTCCTTGCTTTCAGAGCTATTCCCGCTCTGCTTGAAAAGTTGCCAGACCCAGCTGATCGACCACGGATAATAGATCTCACCTCATCAGGATTCCCAAACAACTCAGCCGTTACTCTGAACGATGTGCTCGACGCTGAAATTGATTGCAATGTAAGTCTATAACTGTCTAACTTCTCTTTTTTGGGTTTAGCTTCCCTAACTATAATTACGCTGAGAGCAATGTATGCACAGGTAACTATATATTTTTTTGTGTAGTGGGTTGTCAATCCAATAATTGATCCTTCCCCAAATAGAGGTGTAGGCGTTGGTGAGTGGGACGACGAAATTCGCGATAGGAAAGTGGAGCACATGGTTGACCTTATCAAGCATAACCACGTATTTGTGGAGGACGAGTGGCCTGGCGGCGACCATTCATGCCCATTAATTGTACACCAGCCGTTTTCTCCACACGCC